CTTATGGCCGAAAAAAACTTTAAACGTAAATATCTCGGTTTCAAGCGTGCAAACATTTGGTCAAAAATCATCTTTCTTAAAAATACCTTTCATTTAACGGAAAACGAAGGCTTAAATGGAAAAAAAATATTCTTTATAAAAGTTTCGCTTGTGTATTGTCTAGATAACAGTGCAAACCACATATTTTTTACTTCTAAATTAACAAAGATATAACAATAAACAATAAGAGATGTCAAGGGTTTATGGGAGAGCAAGATCGGACCGCCGAGTTTCTCGACTCGCTATGCATCTCTCTCAGTGTTGATACGTATGGGATCTCTTCCACTCTCTTACATTATTTTGTATAGCGATTATTAATTCATACAATTGAAGGCGAAGAATGTTTCATAGGGTGTATGAATTAACAATAATTTGCCTTTGAGGAAAATAAAAAATATCAAGAAAAATAATCATATTATCAAAATACAATTAAAGGGTGTTTCACGAACATCGAAACAGATGCGTTTTAGGGTATTTTAAGGTCAATTAAAAAAAACACTTGGACACGTCAATTTTGTATTTAAGGGAGACACTTTTTGACCCTATCGTTGGTGACTTCCACTCCTCTTTTTTAGATAGGGGAGATGGATTAAGTGGTACTTTGTTTTAAAGGTATTTTGATTCTCATCATAAGTGCGTTTTTTTTTTTGAAAATCGAATGATTAGTTTTCAAGATATTCACTGTCAAAGTTGCCAAGGGCTAAATATGAAACAATTTTCTTGTCCTGTTATTTTCAAATTAACACTTTCCTTTCGGACACGTCTTTTCATTTTTTCAGAAGCACTTTTCTAATAATTTCAATTTGTTTCTATTCATTATATCGCCCTTTCTATCAAGATAAGTAAGGTAGATCGAGGTCGAATGGTACTTTCTTTTAAAGGTATTTTGATTCTCGTTAAAATCCTGTATGTTATTTTGTTTTTGTATCGATGCTGATTTTCACCCCTTTTAATATGATAGAGGGTGTGGGCTGAGTAGCATCTTGTTTCGAAGACCTTTCAAATAACAGTATTTTCTAAATGTTCAACAATGAAGGATTTTTTTTTTCTTGCTTTTTTATGTCGATGGAGTTGAAACTGTGTTAGAGTCTCGATTCAGTGAAAAATACTAGAAGAAGTATTAATTTGAGAATGCCAGGGCCAGAAAATTGTTTCCTATTTAGCCCATAGGAACTTTGACACTAAATATCTTGAGAGTTAATAATTTGATTTTCAAAAAAAATACGCGCACTTGTGACAAGAATCAAAATACCTTTGTAACAAGGTACTACTCGACCTATCTTCGGCATCTTTCCTATCTGAAAAGGAGAGTTAAAGTTACCCCACCCGATGGGGTCAAAAAGTTTCCCTCTTGAATACAAAATCGACGTGTCCGAGCGTTTTTTTCAATCGACCTAAAAATACCCTAACGCCTCTGTTACGATGTTCGTGAAACACCCTGCATATATATTTTGATAATATGATTCATTTTTCTTGTTATTTTTTATTTTCCTCAAAGGCAATTTATTGGAAATTCATATACATACCCTATGAAATAATGAAATATTCTTCGCTTTAAATGGATAAATTAATAATCCCTATACAAAGTAATATAACAGAGTGAAAGAGATCCCATACGTATCAACACTGAGAGAGATGCATAGCGAGTCGAGAAATGCGGCGGTCCGATCTTGCTCTCCCATAAACCCTTGATATATCTTATTGTTTATTGTTATATCTTTGTTAATTTAGAAGCAAAAAATATGTGGTTTGCACTGTTACCTAGACAATACACAAGCGAAACTTTTATAAAGAATATTTTTTTTCCATTTAAGCCTTCGTTTTTCGTTAAATGTATTTTTAAAAAAGATTATTTTTAACCAAATTGTTGCACGCTTGAAACCGAGATTTGTATTTACGTTTAAAGTTTTTTTCGGCCATAAGAGCTAATGGTAATTTTTTTTTTGAATGATTATAAAAAAAATACTCCCTACAAAGACCTTATTATTGTGTATTGGACCAATAAAAAAGTATTTTTTTCTCTATACGGTGGTATCAGTATCTCGATTTTTGATGATAGTGCCCTTTTGCACAGTCCAATTTTGTATTACCTCCGGAATAAGAGTTACCTTGCCAAGTACTTTCATCCCTAAAATATTCAGCTTGTGACACCGAAGTGGGAGGCAAAGTCAAAATAAGTCTTGATCTACACCATACTATTAGTTAAATTAGTGAATCTTCCGGCACAGATCCAGTAAGTGTATAGTAGTCTAATGAACCTTCTCAAGTAGCTGTACAGTGTGTCACATTCTGGTTTTACATAAGGGATATCTCAGTTGCTAATAGAGCTAGAAGGATGCGGTTTTTGCGAACGTTGGCTACTTTTCTGTCTAACGAAAGATGCCATCAACAAAATTGTCATCACTCTTTCCTTTTTCAGATATAAGTAAGGTGTTTTTGAAAATTTTGCATTTTGGGATACCCCTTGTATCTGGGTTCTCCCATAAGTGATCGAAAAGGTGACGACGGGTTCTTATAGATCTTTCTACGGAGATTCCAGTGGCGAAGTCAGTTTTTTTTCTAGAAGTCATGGTTTTTGAATTATGAACCAGAAATACGTTTTTTCAAATGAGACACCCTGTATATTAATAGCTCAATGAATAGCTCTGCTTTTTCTGATTTCAATGATATAAAGTTCGATAGGTTTATGTCTACCAGGTCTGTTTTTGTCGTAAGAAACAATGTGACAGAAAAGGACTTTGCATCTGGAAGGAAAATGAGAAGGGTTTCTTTCTAACACATTGTTTCTTATGACAAAAACAGATAAAAATGTTTTGCTCGACACTGTTAGGTCGTGTTTATGTTGGAGCTGTGATACACGATAAAAGCAACGATACTAATTTATAGTATCATTAGTATATTGTTGCTTTTATCGTTTATCACAGCTCCAACATAAACACTGCCTTAGAGATAAACCTATCCAATTTTATATTGTCACGAAACGTCTCTCTGGTTCGCTGTGTAGCTCGACTATTCACCCTGAAAAGCAGAACGGGAAGGGAGGAGTAATCAGGGAAACACCAGAACAGTTTTAAATAGCTAATATATATTGTTACAGGACGGAGGTTACGGAAACTTGAATATTTAGTTATTACCACATCATCGTCATCTGGGACCAGATAACGTCCCTTCGGGTGGTGAGGCTAAAAAAAAGGGCGGACAGTCAAACGTCGGGTATACCCCTGCAAAGCTAAATAACCAAACCAGCCCTACAGGAAAATCTAGGAAGCCTTTTCACTGTAGGTCAAAGCCTGGGTCGTCAGGGAGTACCTGCCCTGATAGAGATACGATAGCGTATTAACTTTATCAGTCCAGATAGTTCCCCAACTTTGAGTCGTCTCTAAACACCTACTGATTGCAGCGAAGCGCTGAGACACGACTAATTTGCCATAGTGTGGCCCGGGCTTTTATATCCAATATTTGCTGACTATGATTAGGATAATTTGTGTTTTCTTGCTTAGTTGCAGTTATTTGTTATAACCCGTGGTTCAGTGTTTTGAATTTGGTTATAGCCCGTGGTCCCATGTAGGGTTGACAATATCATTGAAATCAGCAAAAGCCAAAGCAGAGCTATCAACTTAGTTTATAATAGGGTGTCTCATTTGAAAAAACGTATGTTTGGTTCATAATTTGAAAACTATCACTTCTAGAGAAAAACTGCCATTGGAACCTACGTAAAAATATCTATAAGAATCCGTTGTCATCTTTTCAATCACTTAGGAGAAAACCAATGATACAAGGGCTGTCTCAAACTGCTACTTTTTTAAAAACACCTTGTATCTGAAAAATAAAAAAGGCGAAGACAATTCTGTTGGCGCCATCTTTCGTTTGACAAACAAGTAGGCAAGGTTCGCGAAAACCGCATCCTTCTAATTCCAATAGCAACACAGTTTTCCCTTATGTATGTACTGGGTGATTGTCTATATTTTGCACCCACACCTATCTCACCTGTTTGGTGAGATACCCAGAATTGTCAACTGTGAAAGTTGTAGGTAATATCAGAAAGTTTTCAATGATGTTGGTTACAAGTATACAGGGCGTGTCACAAAAGTGTGCTGAAGCAAAGTTATACTTTTTAAAATGGAAAACCCTGTATATTATTGGCCCATTGGATTAGCCTTTCAAACCTGATTCCAAATATACTAGGTTTTTAAGGTTCATTAATCCATATTATTTTTTCAAAATGGGATATTCAGAGGCTGGACTATGAGGAATAAACCTAAAAAAACCTAGTATATTTGGAATCGGGTTTAAAAGGCTAATGCAATGGGGCAATAATAAATGGGGCTTTCCATATAAAAGAGTATAATTTTGCTTCGCCACACTTTTGTGACATACTCTGTATACTTGCAACTAACATCATTGAAAACTTTCGCATATTACCTACAGCTTTCACATTTGACATATCGGGAGTATCTCTTCAAACAGATGAGATAGGTGTGAGTTCAAAATATAGATAATCACCTGGTACAACAAAAATGGGACACACTGTACAGACTACAACAGAGTTCAAAGTACTCGGAAATTGAAGTTTTTTTTGCAAATTTGAATCCTAAATTTGGGACTTCAAATGCTAAAAAAAAAATCTGTTCCCTCAACAAACCTTATAATGACTGGTTTGTGCCCACTTCCTTATCCTTTAAACTCAAAAATAGACAATTTTGCTTCAATCCAGAAAAAAAACCCAATACAATCCACGAATAATTGATCTTATCGATAACTACTAGCATATTATAAAAAAATTACCCACAGGTATTTTTTCAGAAATATATGTATATCGACTTGCTTTGCTTTGCCTACTTGTTTTCAAACGAAATACTATAATCACTTATGTGTCCTTAACTTTAGTTAGGTTCAGTGGGTTGTCAGATAAGTCCAGAATTTACCAACCACTACAAATAATTGTCTATTTTTTCTTCTAGACATCCTTTATTTCCGCTTCTGGCGCTCTTATTTGAAAGATGCGAACTGGCAACTCAATCGTCGGAGCCTCAGTCTAGCGATGCTTTCAATATGGACATTCAGGCCTTCGTACAACACCAGGAGAGAGATAGGAAACCTTTTTTAGCCAACGAACCAGAAATAGATGGATTGGTAAGAGAGCATCCATAATTTACAACAAACTTTTTCATCAACAGCAAAGCTTATATTCTGGAAGCACGGTTTCGGTTTAAAAATAACACCAAAGTCTATAGCATAATTAAAGAAACTTTTTTTCACATCCGGGTCTGAAAAGCGATGTCGGTCTTTGTTTTCAGGGACTAAAGTAGCTCAAAAAATTCTGATCGTATGTATGTATATTGTGCATTAACATTTATAATTTACAGGACTAAAGTGCATTTCAATAAAGTTTGAAGTGAAGTGACTATGACTAGTTTAGTCCCTCAGTATAATATAAATTGTAAGGTCAAATATCTTAGTATATGTTCAACGACCAACAATAGTTTGTTCCATTTCATTTTTTATCTTAAGCTTGGTAGGTGTAAGCAATATATCAAAAATGCTTTTCAGGTAAACAATCAACATACATATTTTCATTTTGACATAAACAGCAAAATTGATACTTCAAATATGAAATTTACCAAATCATTATTCATCCTTTTGTTAATTGTTCGCCTCAAAAGCTTATTAGTAACATATCAGCACTGTGACTCACGAAATGAAGTCATAGTTTAAGGTAAATTTCACAACCGATAACTTCCGATTGTTTCCCGCACTAATTCCTGAGAATGATGCAACTTATGTGATTCTTTTTTTATAGATGATAAAAGCCATACAAGTTCTCAGGATACATCTTTTGGAATTAGAAAAAGTTCAAGAGCTGTGTAAGGATTTTTGTAATCGATACATCACTTGTCTGAAAGGCAAAATGCAGTCTGAAAACTTGCTTAGATCTGATTATCCACAAGGTGATTGAATTTTCAACTATTGTCTAAATTATACAATAAAGATCTCATTTTCATATGCTTTGGTACATGTTTTAATCTAGTATAGATACTGTTTCAACATCAGAGGCACCTAGAAGAAAATCGAGAGCGCCACTGAATCAGAATTAAAATATAAACTCAGTTTTAGTCAATTGAAAGGTATGAGGTACAAATTTTCAAAATGGCCTTGTATTTCAAAAACAATTTTTGTTACAAAAAATCAAATTTATAGACCGCAAAAACATATGGAAAAGGGTCAATCTTGTACAAAGTCATCCAACGAGGACTGAACAGGGAAAATGTTGGATGACCCTATACCTTGATCCTTACTAATAAATTTTTCTTTCATTTAAATAGATATTTTGGGGAATAGCATAATGAACAACATAGAATCAAACAACAATAGTATGATGTCTCATAACAACAGCGACAGTGGCTCAGCTTCAAATAGTCCGGTGCAATACTCAATTAGTCCACATCCTGTAAGTTTCTTAATTTTTTAAAATTTCAACTTTCAAAATAGCCAATTATTGTTCACTAGGCAATGATGCCTCAACAACCTCCCATTCTGGACAGACCTCCAGGAACACCAATAGAAACCGCCTACTCATTGCCCCATTATGGGGGACCCACACCTCCATTACAACCAGCAGCTCAACCTTCGCCTGTACCACAAGTTGCTGAAAGTCTTGTAGTTCACGGGTCAACACCTTTATCGCAAATTGGTGCACATTTATGTCAGCCAGTAACAGCTCCACCCTCGGACAGTTCAGGTCCACTTTCGCCAGCCCCAACCACCCCTGGCGGCAGCAACGACGACTGCGACAGCGATTTTTCCAGGGGTGGCAAAAAACAGAAAAGAGGAGTCTTGCCTAAACATGCAACCAGTGTGATGAGATCGTGGTTATTTCAACACTTAGTGGTAAGCTGTCACCATTTCCCAGGATGTATAATCAAAAATTTTTGATATTTGTTTCAGCATCCTTATCCTACGGAAGACGAAAAACGACACATCGCCGCCCAGACAAATTTGACGTTGCTACAAGTGAACAATTGGTTTATTAACGCGCGCAGGAGGATTTTACAGCCCATGCTGGACGCCAGCACGCCCGCCGGGCAGGAAGTGGGCCAGGCGAATTCTCCCGGCGGTCAGAGTGGCAAAAAGAAAAAGAGCCAGAACAATAATCGGCGGTTTTGGCCGCAGGAGTTTGGCAGTATGCAACCGAACTTGGATAGTGGTAATAATTTTTGTCTTTTTAGTTTTTGTAGTTGACTTTATTCAAGTACAATGGTGCAAATTAAAGACAATTGTTAGGGCTACAATCTGAAGTACCTCAAATCCAAAATTTGACTGTTTTGGGAATGATTTTAGTTTGTTAGAAGATCAATCTGATGGATTTAGAAAGATATGAAGGTTAATTGAAAAATTATGTCGTACTGTTAATAGAAAAAATAGTTGCATTGGAATCAAAATGTAACAGAAATTAAACATAAATAACTATTTGGGTTATTCATTGTTTAAACTTATAAATGTGAAATCTGAGTCAATAGAAGATAATCACTGATAATAAAAAACAATCATTGTTTGTATGTTCCAAATGGTTCCGACTTTATTTATTTATTTATTTATCAACGGGTGATTTCCCAATTAGAAAACAGTACAATTTTAGTAATATAAATACCTAATTTTTAACCTAACCTTAAATCAAATTAACATTGAAATTAAAATTAAAACCCTAGAAATCTGATCAACAATAACAATGAGTTACAACAAAAACCATTTTAAACAAAATATAAAATTTAAGTCTGAAGCTAAAATAAAATATTAAACAATAGTAATAATTTATTTTTAAAACTTCTTTGGTCTTTGGTCGACAAAAAAGTCTAGAGTATCAGTGTTGATTGGCAAGTTGAGCGGTCCTAGACAAAAATGAGTTTAAACCATAGTTGGTTCCATGAGGTGAAGCATAAAAGGAATGGTTCTGTCTAGTTTGCCGTAAAGGAATGTGAAGCCCAATTTTTTCAGTAAGATCAGGAGCAAAACTGTGGGAGTGCAGAAAATTGTAGAACATTGTAAGGTTCCTGTGAAGCCGACGAACTTGAAGACTACCAATATTTAGATAGTTTTCCATTTCAGAATAGTTGATGTTTTCAGCTGTATGATGCTCTTTGAAAGAGATGTGCCTCAAAAGCTTATGCTGTACTCTACATCGTAATGACTAGACCAAACACAAGAACAGTATTTGAGGTGTGGGCACACAAGAGAGCAATACAATGTTTTAATTAAAGAGGTGTGGAGAAAGTCCTTAGTACAGCGGATGAAACCCAAAATTTGAAGAGATATGGAGACGGCCAATGATATTGGAGGTATATAAGACAACTGACTATCCAGAATAACTCCCAAATCTCTTATCTGAGAAACAGCATTCAGCGGACAACCATTCACAGAGTATACTTGCTGGGTGGGGTTTCTGCCACGACTGAAAATCATTGGATGGCACTTTTTAACATTTAATTCCATTCCATTTTGTTTACACCAACCAGACAGACGATCCAAGTCAGATTGTATTTTTAAACAATCTTCAGTTTTGTCGACTCTCATGTAAAATTTTAAATCATCAGCAAACATTAAAAAATGGGTGTGTAAAAAACAGGACGAAATGTCATTAACGTACACATTGAAAAGCAGAGGGCCAAGATGCGAACCCTGAGGCACACCTGATGGGACTCGGATTTCACATGACTTGTAGCTTTGAATACGTACTACTTGCGTTCTACCAGAAAGATACGATCTCAACCACCTTAAAAACCTTCCATGGATCCCTTTCACAGCCAATTTTTGAATTAGTACTTCGTGGTTTACAACATCGAACACCTTTTGAAAAATCGGTGTGTGTAAATGACGTGTACATGATGCCCATCTTTCAGGACCTCCAACAAAAAGTCGGTAAATATGAGCAGGTTATGTTCAGTCGAGCGATGCGCAAGAAGCCCAAATTGTTTTACCAAAACTGCTTCCCAAATTCTTAGCTAGAAAATCACAAGGCTTTCAAAGAGTTTAGGTATATAGCTTAGTATACTAATAGGCCTAGAGTGATCGACTTGCACTGTATCTCCTGATTTTAGAATAGGCGTAATAAAGCTAGTTTTCCAGAAAGTTGGAAAGATACCGTTGTCCAAAGATAGATTAAAGATGACGTGAAGTGGACGTGACAGTATAAAGCTACATTGTTTTAGAAGACTTGGAGGAATCCCATCTGGGCCTGCACTCTTGCTGATATCTAAGGATGATAGTTTTATATAAATTTCGGAAATTGAAAAGTTACATTTAGACAAATTAATATGACTGAAGGATGGGACATTGTGTGAAACATCACAAACATTATTAGAGTACATTTGCGAAAAATACTCAGCAAACAAATTTACAATTTCGCCACCAGTTGAAGACATATTATTATAGTACATTTCAGAAGGAATATCACAATCACAATATTTTTACTGTTAGCGAACTTCCAGAAGTTTTTAACATTAACTCTCAAGGAAGATTCAGTTTGAGCTATATAGCATTGATAACACTGATTCTTAATGATTTTACATCTAGCTCTTAATGCAGAAAATAACTTATAGTCCTTATAAAATTCAGTTGAAACGTATTTTCTGTGTGCTTTTTTCTTTTCGACTATTGTTTCCTTCAAGTCCTGAGATTCCTGAGAAAACCATGCAGGAAAATTTTTGGCAGAGTACTTTTTTAGAGGAACAAAAAGGTCGACAGTTAAGTACAAAACGCCATAAAATATATTGATTATATCCTCCAGGGATTTATTTATGAACAAAGTGTCCTAAGTGAAACAGTAGAGAAAGTCACACACTACCGTAATGTCCATGGCATGAAAGTCACTATAAAAACCATTGAGAAAAACTCTCACCTGTGATTCCATGATTGTTAAAATAGCGATGTTCACACTTGATACTGAAAATTAGTGATGGGTGGTGGTTGTCCAAAGGTAACAGACTTTCGTCTGCGTAGAGACTTGTAGCTTCTTTGTCCTGCAAAAACATCCAGGATAGATCTTTAATGTTACTACTTGTTTTCAGGACTCTACTTGTAATATTCTTTCGAAGTGCTATTAGTAGCCCACCCCCTCTTCAGAAACGCTTGTTTCGTAAGTTCAGCATCCTAGAAGTGTTCCGTCAACCAAGTTTCATGAGAAATTTCTGTGCACCTGGTTTTAATTGATTTATTGGCCTCCACTTCTCGTTTTTCCGGTGCTTCTCCATCCAGAATTATCCTGACGTGCATTTCTATTCACACAGAAATCATTGCCTAACCCTATTATCATATTTTCCTATCCAAAACACGTGACTTTGACAAGCAAACAAAGGGTTTGTGTGCCTCTTGACGGACATTTTAATTTAAGTTTGACAGCATCTTGGATAGTCTTATTATTATTTTCCCTGAAGATACATATCATAAAGAGGAAATTACTGGCTTGTTTGCTAGTTCCAATTCACAAAGGAGGATGAAATAGAAATTTCTACTAAGTATAAATTCATCCCTCTTAATCACAATTTTTGTTATAAGGCCGAACCTTCTTAGCAATAAATTACATCTTTCCCATTGTTTGAAGTTAGTGATGGTTGTTAGTTTCATTGAAATCCCATTTTATTTGAAAGTTCTTCAGATTAGTTTTTTGGTATGTATGTAAATCTGATGCTACCCTTCTACAGTTATTACATTATTTTTCAAATTGAAGCAGTATTTTGGTACAAAACGGTATAGATAGATATAAATACTACCTGAATGCAAAAAAAAATTATATTAATATCAAATATTATTTGGTAAAATTAAAGTAATCTACAAATATACAGGGTGTATATTTCAAGTGATACCACTATTGCTATATCCGAGACGGTAAAAGCCACAAGGTCGGTTAAATTAGAAAAAAGTTGGCCATCCAAGACGCGTTCACAGTGTTGCCAAATTACTTAGTTTATGAAATACAGGGTGAAGAAACGCCTGAAAATGTTTCATTAATTATTTCGAAAACTATTCGAAAAGTTTTATAATTTTTTTCGTCCTACAACATGGCATCTTCAAATTTTAAATCCGACCTTTCGTGATTGAGCCACCATCATCAACTTCATTTTTTTAAAATACAAACCTGGATTTTTTATGTCATTTTTCGAAAGCGCCTTTTATTCCCTTTTTAACGATATACCTCTTCAATATGATTGGCCGATGCAACACTATAAGGCAACCCTAAATGGGCATCCAAAAAGGCTACTTTTTCTTAATTCAACCGACCTTGTAGCTCTTACCGTTTTGGATATAACAATAGTGATACCACTTAAAATATACACCCTGTATATGGCACGAAACTCACAACTTTAAAAGCTATATATGTCTTCAGAGATTCACTTACAAAATCTGAAAAGATTTTCAATTCAATTCAATTCAATTTATTTATTTCTCTTTTGATTATACAGGGTGTATATTTTAAGTGATACCACTATGGCTATATCCGAAACGGTAAGAGCTACAAGGTCGGTTAAATTAGAAAAAAGTTGCCTTTTTTGATGCTCATTTAAGACTTGTTTACAGTGTTGCCAAAGTCCTTTTAGTTTATGAAATACAGGGCGATTTATAAAAAAGGCCTAAAATTATTTCGTCAATTATTTTGAAAACTATTGATATTCGGGACACAATTTAAATTTGAAAGTTTTATAATTTTTTTCGCTCTACAATATGACATCTTCAAATTTTAAATCCGACGTTTCGTGATCGAGATACTATCATCAACTTCATTTTTTTAAATACGGACCTGGATTTTTTATGTCATTTTTGGAAAGAGAATTAAGGGCGCTTCCTAAAAATGACATAAAAAATCCAGGTCCGTATTTAAAAAAATGAAGTTGATGATGGTGTCTCGATCACGAAACGTCGAATTTAAAATTTGAAGATGTCATATTGTAGAGCGGAAAAAATTATAAAACTTTCAAATTTAAATTGTGTCTCGAAAATCAATAGTTTGCGAAATAAATGATGAAATATTTTTGGACGTTTCTTAGAAATCACCCTGTATTTCATAAACTAAAAGAAATTTGGCAACACTGTAAACGAGTCTTAAATGGGCATCAAACAAGGCAACTTTTTTCTAATTTAACCGACCCTGTAGCTCTTACCGTTTCGGATATAGCAATAGTGGTATCACTTAAAATATACACCCTGTATAGTAAT